TAAAAAATATAAATAAACTACAAATAAAATTAGATCAAAGTGTTCAAAATAATTCAAAAGATAATAAAAACATAAAAAAATAAATTTAATAAACCAAAAATGTTGTTCGATGAATATTTTTACCTCGAAAGATATTAATACTGTAGTCTTCCCCAAATAAACTTTTTACTAATAAAATAAATGAAGTAGTTTTCGTATTTATTAGTCATAATCTAAAAACATCAATGTTAAGCTTTTTAAAATTATATTTTTTAAAAAAATATATGCGTATAAGTTGTTTTTACCGTAGAAAAAAATGTAAAAAAATTATTTACTTATTACTTTTTCGATTTGTAAAAAGTATTAAGATTTTATCAATTCAATTTATATATTTGCATTAATATAGAAAATTTTCACAAAAGAATTTTAGTTAAACAAAACACTTTAATAAATAGAGAATTCTTCTCTAAAAATTTAACATAAACACTTGTAAATTTTTTTAATGTAATATTATTAACTTTACTAAAAAAATAACTAATAGCTTTATTAAGTAAAAATTGCCATGAGGTAGAAGTTTCTCACTAAAATTTAATTAAACTTTTATTCAACTTACGATTAACATATGTTGAATAAAACTTTTTTAGTTTGCAATATTATTGACTTATTTATTCTTAAAAAAAAAAAATTTAAAAGATAAATTACTACTAAGTAGAACACGCTTTTTATTACCGTTAAACAGTGCAAAGACGACTATTTTCAGTGTCGTCAATGTATATAAATTTTAACTTTAGCAAATTTAAATAATTTTAATAGTATATAAATGGTTTACTTAAAAAAAATATTTTGAGTATATATTAAAAGTTTATGGCAAAAAACTATAACATTTTTAAATCTAAGATGGCTTCATCAAAACCAACTCACATCGATAAGCAATAAACTATTCAAAGAACTGATTAACTTAAGGATTTTGTAAGTATACTAAAAATATAAAAATATGAACGTAGATTTTAAAAATCTTTAAGCTTAACTAAAAAAAAAAGGAGATACATTCTCCTTAAATTCATGTATTAAAATGATTTCTTCATAATAGTGACATATTTATATTAATTTTTTGTAAAACTAATTTAAAAGTAAATTATATGTTTATATTTTGCCCAAGGACAGCATTAATAAATAAGTGTGTATTTATGAAACCGCTCTTAAAACATTTTTTAATTAATTTTGTAACTAGTAAAAGTTTATTACTGGTGCGAATACCAACTCTTGCTTATAATATCTTTTACGGGGCTCTATTAAAGAAAAAATAATAGTTTATGAAAATAGTTATTATATAACAAAATTAATTTTTTGTAGTAATTGGTAAACAAAGCGAATTGAATTAAGAAATTTCATAAAAAAATAAACTATTATTTTGTTTCTTTAACTATTTTCTTTTTTTGAAACTTTTAACCTTTTCCAGCAATTTATTTTCACTTAAATAACTTCTTGTGGACTTCTAACATTTACTTATAACAAATTTAACGGATGATTATTTAAAAAAAAAATAATAATTAATATTTTTTTTTAAATTTATAAAACATATTTTTCATGTACAAAATTAAATTTTCTTTTGTTTTGTTTAAAAACAATCTTTAAACTAATAAAGTTTGTTTTGAAAAATTCCGTTCTTTATTATTTATTTTTGTACACACCTAAAATTCTCAGCGATTTTGTTATTATAATTTTCTTATAACTTTTAAAAAGATTAAATACTGTGGCAATTTCTTACTTCCACTTAAAACTTCTACGGATCTTCTTTACAATAAATAAATAAATTATGATAGCGGTTAAAAATGATTACTTTATAGCAATGCAAAAATTCTATAGTTATTATATAGACCTAATTAATTGAAATTTAATTTTCTTTAATACTTTTTTAAGTTCTGCTTTTAGATAGTTTTAAAACTTTAATAGTTTCTGTTTAAAAACTTTTTTCCTTTATAATATTTTTTGGTATACTTTTAGATTCTATTATTTATAAAATAAATGAAATTTTGGTTGCGAACTTCCAACTTTTTCTTAATAATATTCTCTATGCCTTTTTACTATTTAAAAATATTTTTTTAATAAAAATTAGTTTTTAAGTTATAGTAAATTTTAAAAAACTTATTTAACTTTACTTTTAATTTTACAAAAAGCGATCACTAACAAATTATGAAGTACTTTTAATATCTATATTGCTATAATTTAAAAATCCGGAAAAAATATTTTAGAAAAAAAATTTTTATTTTATTTTTTAAAAATTAAATTTAAAATAACATTTTCAAGTTTTCCTTTAACTGTATTATGGGATTGAATTGTTTTTATATCTTTTACAAGATTATTTTTTATCATATATTTAAATAGTTTATCTAGGAATTAAACAGTTTTATAAATTAATTATTACTTGTTTTTATATATTGTTTTTAATTATTTATTTCGAAGTTGAATTAAATTGGAATAATATATTTTGGAATTAAATTGTTTTAAATATAATTTTTTTTTTCATTTTTACTTTTTAAATAATCTTTATGGAACTAATTGTTTTTTATATTTTATAAACACCTAATAATTTTTTTTATTTTTATTTTGAATATTTTAAAATAAAATTAATTTTTTTTTTTTATTTTTACTTTAAAAATGATTTATTTTATAACAAAATTAGTTTTTATATTTCATTACGAAATTGCTTTTTTCATATTTATATTCTGTAATAATTAATTTGAAATAAAATATTCTTATAATTATTTTAATGCAGTTTTCATTATTATAACATTCTTATGCTCGATAAGAATTTAATATTTTTTTTAATTATTAATGTAACTTTTCATTCAATTAAAGTTAATTAGTGAATCATAAAAAATTTTAAAATAATAATTTTTTTTAATAAATTTTAGTTCTAGATTTTTTTTTAAATTTTACTATATGCATAAATATTATAATATTAATAAATATAACAAATTTAAAATATTTATAGAATATAATTTTATAAAGTCTTATTATTTTTATAACAAATTTATAAAACGCAATTTTTATTGGTAATTTTTTTTTTTAATTTTATAATATGCTTAAATAATATTATAACAGTATAATATTTATTAAAAAAAAATAAAATTTTATTTTATAAATCTTTTTTTTTTATATTTCTTATATAAAGCAAATAGTTATTATGTAAATTTTAATTTTTTTTAAAAAAATTTATAATTCACTTATATAATATAACAAACTTATAATTTAAAATGTAAATTTTTTAATTAATTTTTCTGAACCAAAACATTTATTTTGTATATTTGTACTATACTATAATAATATTTTTTAATAATTAATTTTAAAATAATTTTTATTAAAGCAAGTAATTAAATGTTATGTTTTAAAAATTATTTTTTTTTGTTACTTTAATATTACAATTATGTAATAATTATAAATAAATTTTTTTTATATAAATTTTTTATCAAAGCAAATATTTATCATATAAATTTTAATATGAACTGTAAATCTGTTTTTAAATATAATTTTGTAATTTTATGTTATTTTGTAATTTTGCAATTTACTAAAGTAATATTCAGGATTTAAAAATATTTTTTTAAAAAATTATATTTATTATTAATTTTACTAAACACTCATATTTAATTTGCAATTTTTTTTAAAATGTTTTTATTATACTTTTAAATAATATTACTAATATAATATTTTTATAAAGAAAACTTTATTTTACAAATCTTTTCCTTTAAAAATTTTTTTTACAGCAAATATTATGTAAATTTTTTTTTTTTAAAAATTATTAAGTCATTAAAATTATATTAAAAATTTTATATATAAAACTTGAAATAATTTAAGTAAATATTTATTTTGTAAATTTTGTGGTTTGTTTAATACTTTATATTACCAACTTTAACAAAATTTACATTATCTTATAATTCTTATTTTCTAACAAATATTTTTTTAATATATTTATTTAATGTTTTTGTAAATAAATTTAGTTTCCATTATAAAATTTTAAAATTTACTTTAATAATATAATAATTATAATTTTTATTTTATTTCTTTTAAGTTTTAATAAATACTCTTTTATATAGTTATTAAACGTAAATATTTATTTGAAGATTACGTTTAATATTTTTTTCTAAAATTTAATAATTTACTTAACAATATTACAAAATTTAATCTAGATTATAAAATCTTGAAAATTTTAATGTTTTTTTTTATTTTTTTTAATTGAAAATATTATTGATTTAGTAAATTTTATAAATTTCCTTTTTAAAGTTTTACATTCTAAAATATTAAAAATTTTATTTTAATCTTAAATTATTTATAAATCTTAAAAATATTAAATTATACATTTATTAAATGTAATATTTATTTTGTAAATTTTCATTATTTCCTTTTTAAAAATTGAAATCTACTTAATATTACAAAATTTCTTTATAATAATAAATCTTAGATACATTTCTTATATATTAATTTTTTTAATGTGAATACTATTTTGGAAATTTTGTTAATTTCCTTTTTGAATTTGAATTCTACTTAACAATATCACAAAATTAAATTAATATAAATCTAGAAATTTTTTTAATATATATTTTTTTTAAGCAATATTTATTTAATAAATTTTGTTAATTTTCTATTTATTATTTTGTAATAAAAAAATATTTTTTATATTTTTTCTAAATGTAATAATAATTTTAAAAATTCTTAAAAAAAAATTTTATAATTTACTTCAACTAAATCAATTTAGATATCTTATAAATATTTTCAATAAAACTTTTATTTATATTTATTAAATGTAAACATATATTATGCAAATTTCTTTAATTTTCTTATTAAAATTTCAAAATCTACTTTAGTAAAATTCCAAACTTTGCAACTTTTAATACTTTTATAAAATTTTTTATTTACGAAATAATTTACTTTTTTATATAAATTTATTAATTTTGATTACCTTTCGTATTAAATTTTCTAATTATTTTATCTAAGATATTTGGATAACAACAAAATTTCTTTTATAGAAAAAGAATCTTTTTCTAATCTGAAAGCACTAAAAGTCTTGTAAGTTTTATTATTTAAATTTATAAATAAATTTAAAAATTATAAAATTTTAATTTATTTTTTAATTAAAATTATTTTTGTAAATATTTTTTTAATTTATATTTTTAAAAAATTGCTCTATTTATTTTTTTTTTTAAATGTAATATAAATAATAAAAGTTTTATATATAAAAAAAGGACCAAAAATAATTTTAAATAAAAAATTACTTACAAAGTATAAATTATTTATTAATTTTACTTGAAAAAGTTTTTGAAGTAATTATAAATAATAATACTATAGAAACTTTCAGGCTATTACTATTAACAAAGTTTTCTGTAGATATAATATAATAAAACATGAAATAAACAACTTTTTATAGAAATGTTAAAATAAAAATAATATAAAGTAAAGTTTTTATCTATTTTTTTATGACTTTTAATAACAATAATATTAGTATTAATATTAATAATGGTTTTAAAAAAAGTTTTTTTATATATATAATAAAAAGTAAAAGTTTTTAATATTTATTTAATTTTACTTTACTTTATTAAAAGTAATAAATAAGAAATAAAGTATAAAAATAATATAAATTAAGTTTTTATTTATATTTTTTGGATGACTATTAATAATAATATTTATAAATAAAAAAATAATATATTCTTTGTATTTCGATGACCTTAAAAAATTCTAATAAAAAAAATAAGTAAATATTTTTTATATTAATTTTATTATTTTAAAACTTTCATATAAATAATAATAAGTAATAGTTTTCTATTTTTATTTTTTATTTATTTTGTTAAACTGTTTAATATAAATAATATTAAAATGTACAAGTAAGTTTTTTATATTAATGTTGTCTTTATTTTTACTAAACCTTTTAATATAAATAATAAAAAAATGTAAAAGTTTTCTACATTTATTTCTATTATTTTTAGAACTTTTTAATATAAATAATAATAAAAAGTAAAAGTTTTTATATTTCTTTATTATTTAATAAAACTTTTTAGTATAAATAATAGTACAAAGTATTTATAATTAATATTTTTATTTTCTTCAAAACTTCTTAATATAAATAATAGTATATAATATAAGTTTTTTATATTTATTTTTTTTCCCACTTTTTAAAAAAGGTAAAAGTTTTCTAAATATAACTTTTTTATTTTTTAATGTAGATGGCTTTCTACAAACCGCTTAACTTCGCTTGACACTAACTTGTTTATGGGGCTTACCGAGTTGAAAGAATTGTTATTATTATTATTATTATTAATATTATTATTATTATTATTATTATTATTATTATTTTAAGGTGGTTGCAAAATAATCTTTTAACTACTATTGAAAATCTTTTTAAAAATCTCCAAAAACTTCATCACTTGTAAGTAAAATAACTACTATTGTTAATAATAATATTATTTTAATTTTTTTTTTATAAATGCATTTTATTATATTTATATCATTAATAATATTTTTTATTTTATTTTTAATAAAAGGTTATCAATTTGATTCTGTTAATTTTTTTCAAATGAAATTTTTTAAATATATTATTCATTTATTTTTTTTCACGTGCAAAAGGTCGCTTAAGAAAAATACAATAAAGTCCATTGCTGGATCGGCTTTTTCCCAATTAAAAGTTTTAACTTACTTGTAAATTTTTAACTGTTATAAATTCCAAAGTTTCTTAATTTTTTAATAATAATAAAAAAGTTCCCTTTACTTTTTTAATAAATTTTAAAATTTTATATCTACTTTTTAAACTTTATAAAAAAAATTTTTATAAAAATAAACATATTAATACAAAAAAAATTAGGGATTAAAATTTATATTTACTTACTAAAATTTATAAATTATTTAAAAAAATTTAAATTATAAAATTTACGTGTAATCTTTTTTAAAATTATTAAATTTTTAATAATAAAAATTTTTGTACGAAAAATAAATATTATTCAAAATTTACAATATATTTTAAAATTTATTAACTTTTTATTATTTAAATTTACATAAAATTTTCTTTTAAAATTTTATTATATTTTTTTTAATAAAAACCAAAAAAAAATTATTATATCTAAATTTATATAAAATTTACTTTTTAATTTCCATCAATAATTTTTTTAATAAAATAAATAAAACTATAATACGAAATATAAATCAATAATAAAATTCTACATTTACTTTTAAAATTTAGAAATAAATTTTTATTTAAAAAAATATTTATTTAAAATTTATTTTTAAAATTTATTTGTGTAAATATAATAATAACCATCTCCTTTATTTTTAAAAAAAATAAAAAATTTATGATTTTCCTTTTTAATGTTACAATTAACTTTCAAAACTAATTTTATTAATTTCACTTCTTTTTTATAACGTAAATCTCTTTTAAAAAAATTTTTTTGTAAATTATATTTAAATTATATAAATTACTATTCAAAAAATAAAATATACTATTCCCTTCCCTTTTTTATTGTTAAAATTTTTATTTTGAAAAATTTCTTCTTTCACTCTTTCTTTTATATAAAAAAAGAAAAAAATTCTGTTTTCATTTTATAATAAATATTTTTTAAAAAATAAAATTTAAATTTACTTCACTTTTTTTATGTTAAAGTTTTTTTAAAAAATAATTTTTTTACTAATTAAAAGTAAAATTTATTTTAAAAAAAGTAAGAATTTAGAGTCCACTTCACTTTTTTATAAATCTTTAAAAATTTAAAAAAAAATTAAAAATATTTAATTTTTAGAAAAATATTTATTTTTATAGTAATTAAAAAAAAATTATAAATTCACTTCACTTTTCTTCTGATTTTAAAATTTTTTTCATAAATAAAAAATATAAAAAATTAGGTTTTTCTTTAAAAGTAAAATTTTTATTTAACAAAATTAAAATTTTTAGTTATCACTTTTTTTTTTGAAATGTTAAAGTTTTTATTAAAAAATATATATTTTACTATCAGAAAGTTTTATTATTTTTTAAAAAAAATTAAATTATTTATCCATTTCACTTTTTTTACGTTAAAAGTTTTCTTCTGGAAAAAAAATATAAAAATAAATCTTTAATATTTATAAGTAAAAACATTTTTAAAAAAAAAGGATAAAAAATTAAATTTTATTATAATTCATTTTTTTTTTAATTTTAAAAGTTTTCTTTTACAAATTTAAAAAATAATTAATTAATCGTTTATAGTAAAATTTTTTTAAAAAAAAATTATTAATAATTCATTCATTTTTTATGATTAAAAAAATTATATTTTTACTTTTAGACTGTTTCTAATTTTTTTTAAAAGTAAACTAATTCACTGCACATATTTTTTTATTGTAAAACTTCTCCTTAAAAAAGGAAAAAAAAATAAGTTTTACTATTTAAAACTTAAAATTTTGTTAAAAAAATTAAAAATTATAATTTACTTAATTTTTTTTAATGTTAAAAGTTATAATAATAAAAAAAGTTTTTAACTTAAAAATTTTTTGTAAAGAAGGAAAATTATCATTTACTTTTAAAAGTAAAATTTTTTTTAAAAAAATTATTATTATACATTCACTTCATTTTTTTTTTAATTTAAAACTGTTTTCAAAAAAGAAAGTAAAATTTAAAAAAATTCATGAAAGCTACTTTTTAAGTATTTATAAATAATTTTAAAAAAAATTTAAAAAAAGGAATATAAAAATTATAATTTACTTTTTAAATTTTACATATTTATTGTAATTAATAGTAAATAATAAAAATGTAAAGTTACAATCACTTAAATAATAAATTATTTTTTGTTAAATTTTCTTTAAAAAAATTATTATTCATTTTTAAATTTTATAAATTTTTTATTTAATATTTATAAATTATAATTTTCAGAGATCTTAAGGAAAATCCCATTACGGAAATTGGCCCCGATGCTTTTTTCTTAAACGATAATTTAGATTTAAAATATTTGTAACGGTTTTGTTAATTTATTTCTGAATTAATAATTAAAAATTATCCGTTAATTTTTATTATAATTTGAAAAATAATAGAAATTTTTATTTTTATTTCTCAATTATTTTAATATTTTTTTGTTTTTTTTGGAATTTAGTTTTTATAGCAATAGTGATTAAAAAATTCTTTGTGAAATTTTTCTTTTATAATTTTTTATTTTATTTTTGAATTAATTAAGTTAATTTATTTTTTAAATTTTTTAATTTCTTTAGAAACGATAATTTTAATTTATTATTTTTTAATTTCCTTTTATAAACAGGCAGTAAATTTTCTTTTTAAAATTATTTTAATTCTAATTCTGAATTATTAGAGAGTTTTTTAACTTCTTTAAATTTTTCTTAAATGATAATACTATATTTAAATTATTGGTAAATCTGTTAAAAAAATTTTATAATTCCTCTAAATCTCAAAGATAAATTTTTGTTTATTTTGTTTAATCAATAATTTATATAAAAATTATTTGTTTAAAAATATTTTTGGTAAAATTATAAATCCATTTATTTATTATTAATCGATTAGAAAAGCTAATCTCAACGAAGATTTTCTCTGCTGCTCAAGATTTCTTTATAAAGATGCTTTTTTCTATAAAAATGATCAGTGCACTCACCAAGATAAACTCTTCGCGTTTAGCACTTTTCCAATAGAAAATTGCGATGAAGATATAGTAAAAGTTCCAGTAATTATTGATCCTGAAGAAAATGAAAAATTAAATATAATTAAAAGCAACGAGGAAATTAGCGAAACTGAAATTGAGACGATGTCGATTTTTAACGAGGAAGTCAACGAGGAAGTCAGTGAAACTGAAAATAAAAAAATTACGGCCTCAAGCGGCGCCAGCATTCATATTACAATCAGTGGAATAGCTGTGCTTTTGAATTTAATTTGATAATAAAAATTTAATAGATTTAATTTTTAATAATTTTTTGGTTAGCACTTCAATAATTTAATATATACACTTTGATACCGTTATATAGTAGAAAAAATTAATTTCCTATCTAATCTAATAAATTGCTCATATAAAAATAAAAAGTTTATTAAAAAAATTATATATAAAAAATATTACAAAATTTATATGAAAAAGTACAGATAATAGTAAAACAATTATCTATTAGTATTTTTCAAGTAGAAATTAAATAACCGAAGAACAGCAATTAAAACGATCTTAATTATAAAATATTAAACTTTTTAAAAACAAAAAAAAAACTTGAAAAAAAAAACTAAAACATTTATTTTAAAATTAACGGTAAATAGTTTTTTTTTTAATTAAATAAGAAAAAATTAAATTACATCTACATTTACTTAAATACTGTTTTGTAATAAAAAAAAATTCTTTAAAAAGTTCATAAAAATGCTAAAAGAAAAATAAAAGAGTTTTAGTACAATCACAAGAATTTTAAAAAAAACAAAAATTAAAAAAATGTTATAAATTTGGGCCCTCCATCCAAACGACTACACGCGCCCCGTACAAAGTGATAGTAGCCGGCTTAGTAAGAAAGCCAACAAATCTCCTGCGTTCTCCCAAAAAGGTGGTAAAGTGCAAGTCAGGCACGGAGACACCGAAAGGGCATAAACGGAGGATATAGCGTGGCTCTCCTAAGGAGGCTAGAAGTCACTCCGGTTATAGAGAAATTATTCCTAGAATGGCACTACCGCGGGTAATTGCTATAAAATGTAGATATATGTATACCCAAGGTAAAAATAAATGTGTAAATAAATAAATTTATTGAACAAATTAATATATAAAACACAGTAATTAGGCTTCCCTCTATACCACAACACCTTCCACGCAGCAAACAAAGAGCAGAAAAAATTAAATCCCCACCAACGGTGTTGGGCTATCTATATTTATATCCATAAGCATGCTAATTAATAGATGCACGTGGCTAACATAATAACAATACAAGCATGCGTGCTACGAAAATAGGGCCCTGACCTGAAAGAGTCGAACTAACTTATTAAACACAATTTTTTTTAGCAAAATTCAACTTTTTTATTCAACATAGTCTCCTTCTAGAACGATACAATCAGACCCACACTTTCCAGCATTTCTAAACACTTTTTTTATAGCACAATTTGCCGTCGCCTTTAAAATGGGTTTCTGTTTCGGCTATGACATCTTCGTTTCACCCAAAGCTCATCCCCTAGAGCAAATTTTTGAGGTCGGCAAAGAGATAATAGTCACTGGAGGGCTGAGCTGGAAAGTATGGTGGTTGCAGAATGAAACCGAACTTCAGTTCGTGCAAATTTGCCTTCCCTCGACTTTTGACTCGAGGCATAGTCTTGATAAAAAAGCGCTTTTCTTTTCGCCATTTGAAGCCTTTTTTTTTTTAACTTCCTCCTTTAATCGAAATAATCGGGTTATATAATATTTGATAATAATAATTTTTTTCTTTTGCAAAATAGTCGATGCATATCCTACCATGCGTACCCAAAAAGACGGTGGCCATAATCTTTCCGGCAGACAGTTTGTCTTTCGTCCTTTGCTTTCGAGTCAGCTAATTGCCAATTGGTCTTTGGAGCGTAATGATGCTCTAGGACCCATCCCTTTAACATATCGCATGAAGAATCCTTTTTATTTCGCTTAAACAGTTCCACGAAGAGCAAACACGGTACCCATTTCGAAAAGTGTTTTCTTATGCCAAATGTTCGTGCAATTTCTACACGTTCTATTGATGTCTTTAACTTTGACCGCGTATGGCATCGGGGTCTCAGGCAAAAACTAAGCACATTTAGGCATTCCAGTTAGCCCTCTACAGCATACTTGCGTTTTTTCGGGGCGAACGCACCTCTCAATTAAGAGTGGGGGCGAGTCTGCCGGCTGAGAGGTGTTCCTCCAACTCTACATGCTATACATGCGAGAGATTCCTGCCAACCCTCACATCCGCGTTTTGCACTCTATGCGTCCCAAAGCCACTCATTATTACGGCAACACCGGTGTTATTTGGAAACATTTGCTAACTGGTATAAGCAGTAGGGAGTAAACATTAAATGGAATGAAGTGCAAAACCATACTCATCGCAAGATGCATCACGCCCCCGCTCTAACCCTCGAAGATGTTAAGAGCCCTTTGGGGCTCTCTGACCAAACACTTGGGGTCATCACCGATAAGCGACTAACTTGGAGGCAACACGTAGAATTCGTAACGACCAAGGTTAAAGCAGCAAATCATGCAATCTACCCGCTGCTGTGCTAAAAACACAATGCCCCTGCGCAATATACTACGCCTTTTAAAATAGTTTAAAATTTGCGTGCACCCTATTATTGCTTACGCATCTGTTACTTAGAGATATGATAAACCGTCAACGATTACACCCCTTCAGACGCAGCAAAACAAGCTCCTGCGACTAATGACAGACGAATCTTATTTCCTGCGATACAATACGTTGCATGACGAAGTGAGTTTAAAACAACTTGAAGTATGCAACTTCAGTTTCTTTTGAACGTGTTTAGTAGGTATCCAACCCATCAGTGAGTTCAAGAATTTACATACGAACCCTGAAAAGGTCACGCTTTTAAAGGCCCCGCCTTGCGCTTTAAGCGCACAATCACAGTTTTGTTTTACCTTTACACATGCAAAAAGTTTTATGTGAGACGACCTGTTGAAGCTATATACGATTTAAAGCCCTAATATAAATTATTTGCAAGTTTAAGCAGTTTGCACTCAATATTACCGAGCATCTGCACAATTCATTAATAAAAAATATATTTTTTTCCCTTTACGTTTGTTTATTTAGGTGTGCAACTGTACTCCTCAAGCAGCTCAAAAATTATCAAATAAATTATAACAGAGTCTTTGTATTTACGATAAACCTATATTATAAATTTGTGTCTATCTATAATTTATAGTTCTCGGAAAACATTAAGCTCGTCCTTCTCCTTTTCCCCCGCAGCTTTGCTTTGTAACTCTCCCTCCTTGATTTTTCTCTTTAAGCTTTTCCATATTAAATAGATAGCGTATTTAGCAGGTAAAGGTCGTTCGTTAACGAAATTAACCAGACAAAAATCACTCCACCAACTAATAATGGCCATCCGCCCCCACACATATAATCTAAAGTTTTTGTATTTACGATAAAGCTATATTATAGACTTTTGTTTATCTATAATATATAGTTCTTCAAAAATATTAAGCTCTCATAATTTTCGAGCTGTTTAAGGAGTATAACGCGCACTCTTTAAATAAACCAACAAAAAGGTAAAAAATGTGTATACATGCCACCCTTTTAATAAGACCAATCAGTGATGTGCCCTCAAGCGCTCAACCTCACGTGGCATATATTCAGTAACTTAAATGAAAAATGCAAATAGCTAAGCGCCCATTAAATTTTAACACCTAACTGGGATTGCACTATTGAATAAAATGTTACTTATAATAAAAATAATTTTTTTTTTGCTTTCTTTCTCGACCACGGCTACTTCATTTTAATAAATTTATAAATTTTCCATAACTTAATGAGGAATGCAAAAATATTAAACGCGCCTTATTTACATAACCGTAAATAAAAATGCTTTGTTTCTGCTTAAAGTTTTAATTTAACTAGTTTTTCTTTTTGCTTTTTTTTCTCGACAGTTATTACATTTATATAAATTTTTTTTAACTTTCTATTTTAATTGTGTAAAAGAAAGTTATGGATAAGCAAAAATAATAAATAAACAATTTTTGACGTTAATAATAACAATAAATAATAAAACATATATCTTATTAACGATAAAAATATAGTTATTAAAGAGGCCTTTTTGCTTTTAAAGTTTTAAAAAAGAATAATAACAGTTATATTTAATTTAAGGACGTAAACTTATACGAGTTTCAGTAACAAAGAATAATAGTAAAAATTTTTGATACTAAAGATACTTAAAAACTTTTCAAGTTTGCGAAAAACACTCAGTTAAAATATTCAAGGCTTTAAGATTTACCTATTGCGTTTGCAGTAAAAACGTTAAATGAAATTTTATAATATTTATTATTGAATTTAATTTCCTATTTGTTATTTATTATTATTAATTATTATGTTAATACTTTTAGTTTTCTTTTAAATATTATTATATATATTTAATTATTTATACTAACTTTTTAATTTATTTTATTTATTTTTAATTTACATTACAATTTATAGTATTCTTTATTTTTTTTAATTCCAATTCTTTTACTATTTTATTAACTTCTTTAAAATCTTACTTTTTTGCATGTACATATGATTTATAATTATATTAATTTTTTCAATATTTCATAAATTTATTAATTTTTATTTATATTAAAAATGGGAAAGTTTTCTTTCATTTATTTTTATTAACTTTTTAAAGTTTTATTATTGCTTATATTTTTTATAATTAATTATTTCATTTAATTAAATTTTAGAACAAATATTCTTTATTTATTACTTTTATTAACTTATCGAAGTTTTATTATTTCTTATATTTTTTGTTATTTATTATTTTTATTTTATACTTATATTATTTTTAAGTTTTCTTTTATTTTTTTCATTATTTTTTAAAGTTTTTTTTATTTACATTTTCTATTATATTATTAAATTTGAGGTTTATAGATTTACTATCTTTTTACTATTTAGTTATTTTTTCGTAAAATTTTTACTTTTAAATTTTTCTTTTACTTTTTATTTTTATTAAAATAAATAAGTGTTTTTTATTTATTTTACTTTTGAATCGCTTTTATACTACCAACAAATAAATTCATTAAATTGTCTCAAAAATAGCAGTACACATCCTGAACTTAATAATAATAACAATAATATTTTTTATTGAAATTAATTCCTATTTACACAATTCAAGTGTTTATAAGCAACTTCAATGCGTGCAATCATGCCTTCCTCGCATTCCCGAAGCCACTTTCGCTTAAATTTATAAATAACATTAATAATCATAAAAGTAATTATAATAATTATATTAAATATACAGAAAAAAAATGAGTTTATGGTGACTTTTTATTATTAGTAACTTTATTAGTAGTAATTTTATTTAATGAAGAGATTTTAATTATAAAACTTTTCTAATAAAAAATAGAATAAAATATAAGATATTTATTTGTTATATTATACAGTATTAACTGTTCCATACTTTTCTTATTATTTTATTAATATATTTTACTTTTATATATAAGAAACTTTTTTATTACATACTATTATAATAAACTTTTTATTTTACTTTTGTTATACTTACTATTTTAATTTTACAGTAAAACTTTTCTAATCAAAAATTGTGTTATGTTTTAACATCAACTTTTAGTAATTTTCTTATTTTTTTATTAATATATTTTACTTTTATATATAAAACTTATAATAAAAAATTTGCTGCCCACGAAAAATATATAATTTTCTTATAATAATTTTTTAAAATTTTTTATTAGTTTATATATATATGAAAAAAATAATTCATAACTTAATATAAAAAAAGTTACAATTTTTTTTGCTTTTATGATATATATTAATAAATAGAAAGTATTATAATAAAGATATACCTATTTACTTCTTTATATTTTTAAAACATATATATAAAACTTAATAATTACAATTTCTTATTTAATAAATATTTGATACTACGTAAATCACGTATTAATAATATTTATATCAATATCTTCTTGAACTATTATTATAAAAAGTTTTTAAATTATACTTTCTCATACTATTATTGTTATTAAAACAATATTTACTTATTAATATGAAAAATGCAAAATAAATTTTTGTATATTAAAAGTTTTCAAAACATAGTAAGTTTAAATTTTTTAATATTTACTTTGTTATACTTTTTTTTTATACTTTTAACTTTTTTTTAAATAAAAAGTTACTTAAAACTTTTTGGTAGATTTTAATTTTTTGTAAACATAAATAATATTTTTTTTACTTTTATAAAATTTTAAATTTTTTTACTTTTATTTATACTTTTTTTTAATATTTTAACCTTTTACCTAAAACTTTTTAGTAAATTTTATTTTTTTTATTTTTATACTTTTTTATATCTATTAATTATTTATCAAATTTTTTACATTATTACTTTTTATTATATAAATTTTTTTATTTTTTTTTTGAAAATATTTACTTCTTTATACTTTTTATTATTATTATCATTTACTTCTAACCTTTAAAAAAAGTTTTACTAAATAACTTTTACTAACTTTTCATATTTATTATTACTATTTACTCTAACTTTTTACTTTTATACCTTTTAAATATATACTGATAACATTTACTTTTATATATTAACAATATTGACTTGGAAATTTTATAAAGCTACCAAAAAAAATACTCGCGCAATTTAGAACCGCACTACGCTTTTCTTGCAGAGAATTTCCTAGTCGACGAGCAATACTCGAGAACCGTCGCCTACCTTACAAAGGCTCTACCTTATATTTTTTTGGTTCACTGAATGGACAATATAGAGATTTTCTTATTTTTATTGGCTAAGTATTTTCCCATTTTTTTTGTATGTATTTATACTATTTTTTTATGAAAAGACCGTTGAAAACTGCTTATCAAAAAAAGAATTATTCGGAGACTATACAGCTTTTCAGCAAAGCTTTGAAGACCAATAAAAACTTTATATTTTGGATATGCGCTTCTTATTTTAATAAATTATAATTATGATAATTATAATATTAAGTAAAATATATTACGAGAAATAAAAATTATTATAAAATATAATAATAATTGTTAGAATAGTAATAATAATAATAATAATAGTTATTATAGTAATAATAACCGGATCGTAATAAGCTTTATTGGGTTTATCGTCTCCTTTAGGATTTCCAATTTGACTTTGCAAGAAATCCTTATTCTCTTCGTAATAACACCGTAAACGATCCCTTTTTATTATTACAATTACTACTATTATTATTAATTATATTGATATTATTATTAGATTTATTAAATTATTCTCTCATAATTATTATAAAATAAATTATTATTTTGTTATAATTATTAGTGTGAATACTAATATTACTATTATTATTCGATCAATATTTTTTTATATATGTATTAACTCTTATCACTATTATAATTTTTTATCAGTATAATAATATTTATTTTCACAAATACTAATAATTTTTATATATTACTATATTTTATTTAGTATATTATTATTATTATTATTATTATTATTATTATTATTATTATTATTATTATTATTATTATTATTATTATTATTATTATTATTATTATTATTATTATTATTATTATTATTATTATTACATACCAATAAGCCCACTGCGTGTCGGTATCAATATTCATTTTCACAACTCCATTCTTTATAGCAGTTTCGATATCTTTCGAGTCCGAACCGGAACTGCAATAATATTAATAATATTTATAATCTAAATAATGATTGGTGGACCCGCCATGGAACACGAAAGTGACTGGCTTATCCGAAGATAAACGAAACTTTTCTTTAATATGTTTTTGAAAGTCTCCAAGTAGATCAGGCCTTAATCGCACGTTTCCTATAATATTTTATTATTACTATTATTACTAAATTAATTTTATATTATTTTTTTAGTAGTTAATTTTTTTTAATTATAAATTAATCACATTTCAAATTTTTTAAAGAGTTAATTTATTAAATTTAAATTTTATTTATTATTCATTATTATAATAATAATTTAAATTTAGTTTTTGATTTTCAATATTAAATAAAGCATTTTCAGATTTTGTTTATAAAATTAATTTATTTCTAGTTATTAAATTTATAATATTTTAATGATTATTTTTATTATTAATTATAATAAAAACAAATATAAACTTCATACAAAACATTTTTCATGTATGAATTTTTAAATTAATTTTATTTATTTATAATTATTAGTAGTGAAAAAATTTAAATTATAATAACAATTATTTATTGTTTATATTATAAATAAACCGGTTATAAATTTTCTACTGACTTATTTTTTATTATTATATTTATGAAATTTATTATTATTAATAAATATTATTACTATTATTTTCATCACTCTTTTTATTAGCAGTAGCATAAATGAGTTAGTTTTAAAAGTTGTATTAAAGTTAGCTTACATATTTTCATTTATTAAATTTGTCTAAGTTTAATAATTATATTTTATATTTATATTCAAACTTTATTTTTTATTATCGAATAAAAATTTTAAATAAACGAAAAAAAATAATTTTTTTATTTTATGCGTCCCAAATCTATGAAATTTGCAAATTTGGAAAAAAATTTTAATTTATAAATTTATAAAGAAAGCTTTTTTTTTAATACTTACTTGTTATTATTTATTACTACATAAAACTAAATAAAGGAAATTAGTTTCAAGTAAATTTACTTAAAATTAAATTTTTAAAATTTATATTTTATTTTAGAAATTATTATTTATTTCCATTTTTTACAATAATTTTCTTTATAACTAAAATTATTTAATATAAAATAAAATGTAAATTTTATAATGTTTTAAAGAAATTTTAATAATAGCAAAAGTCATTTATTATTAATTTATTTATAAATATTTTATATACATATAATTATTTAAATTTATAAATACAAAAACTTATTTTTGGAAAATAATTTTTTTTTAAAAAATTGAAAAAATTTAAATTTTGAATAAAATAATTTATAATTTAATTTTATTTTTTATTATTATAAAATTCATATTAAATAATAATTATTTTAAAAAAAATAATAAAAAATTCTATAAAACAATTTTTCATATAAATTGAAAAAACAAGGTTTTTAATTGGTTATTTGATACCCAATAAATTAATTTTTATAAATTAAAATTATAAAAAATATAGTTATTTTTATTAATAAATAAAGTTATTTAGGTCCAAGCAATTAATTTTTAGTTTATAATTAAAATTTTTTATAAAAATAATTTATAATTTATTTATTTTTAATTACTAATATACTTACAATTATAAAATTAATATTTTCTTTTGAAAAATTCTAACAAATTCCATATTATAATGTTGGATATAAATTTAAAGAAAAAGTCTTTTAATGGTTATTAAAGTCACCAATTAATCTAATTTTATATGATTAAAATATAAAAAATCAATATTTTATTAAATTTTAATAAAAATTTTCAAGATAAAAAAATAATTCAATTATAAACTTATTTTATAAATTAAAAATCTTAATTATTTTCTATATATAACTAAATCAATATTATTGTCATAACTTTAACCAATTTAAAAAGAAATTTATATAATTTTTAAAAATATTTTCTAATTGATTATAAAAATCACCAACTAAATTAGTTTTAATTTAAATAAAAACTAACAAAATTTATAATTTAATAATTTTTACTTAAATAATTTAATATTATTTATTACGTTTACATGAAGATAAAAATATCTTAAATTATAAATTCACATTTAAAATTAATAAAAAATATATATAACTTGTAAGTTAAAATAATAAACAAAAAATAAAAAATCTCTATTTTCTTTAAAATTTTAAATTAATTTTAACTAAAAAAATTAATTTTGTTAAAAAAATTACCCCTAAATTTTATATTTCCTTTTTAACAATAATAACTTAAAAACTAAAGATCTTAAAACAACCGACATAAAAAATACTTTATCACATATTTACATAAAATTTAAAAATTAAAATTAAATTTATTTTTAAATAATAATTAACAAAGAAAAGTAAATTAAAAATAAAAATTAAGCTAGAAGTTTAAAAAAAAAAATTAAATTTTATTACATTCTCTATTTAATAAAAATAACATGAATAAATTAAAAAGTTCTTAAACATCAGATAAAAAATACTTTTATCACAATTTTACACAAAAAATTAATTAATATTAAAATTTTTTATAAATAAAAAGATAACAAGAAATGGGAAAAAATCTTTTTTTTACTATTAAAATTAAAAAATAAAATCAAAAACTAAATAAAATTCGTTATAAATCTTGTAAAATAATTTTCTCTTCCCTATTAAAAGAAAATAAATATATCTCTAAAATTTTACATTATAATATTATTACAAATTTACATTGAAAATATAAAAGGGTATATAAAAATAAATTTTTAATTTTTAAAATTTAACAAAAAAGTAGAAGTCAAAGATTGTCTTTTAAATTTTAAGATTATAAAACAATTTAAACTAACAATTTTGAATTCGCCACATTTTCCTAAATTTTGTTACATAATAAATTTCTTTTCATTAAAAAAAAACAATTTCAACTAAAAAAATTCTAAGTTTACCCGGTTTATATACTCCATGAACATTTCCAAAAGCAGCGGCGATGGTGAATCGCTTAGAAACAGAAGAAAGATTTTCCCAAACAAGTTCAATGTCTTCCGGTTGCGAGTAAAGTTTTTTATTATCGACTTTAGTATTGTCCACGCCATCTTCCTCGCCGCCCGTAATACCAATTTCCATCTCCAAAGTTACTTTCATCTTTTCCATTCTAACCAAAAACTTTTTTTAAAAAGTAAAATAAAAATTTAAAATTTTCATAATTATTATCAGAAAAATTATTACTTCCTTGCAAATTTTAACATTTTCTTCGTGAGGCTCTTCAGAAAGATCAATCATGTGAGAAGAAAATAACGGCTTTCCTGTTTTTTTATAAAAGTTTTCTCCAAACTCAAGGCAGCCAGAAAGCCACGGTAAAAGTTTCTTCGCGCAGTGATCGGTATGCACTAAAGCCACTACCCCATAAGCTTCCGCTAAAGAATGAACATGATTTGCTCCAGCTACAGCTCCCAAAACAGCTGCCTAACAATAAAATAGTAAACTATAACAACACTTTTTTTAATAGCTTAATATTTGTAAGAAAAGTTTTTTCTTTAAAAAATTATAATAATCGTAACGTAAAACACCTTCTGGTCTTTATTATCAAGACCTTTACCAGCCATATACGCAGCACCACCATTTGAAAATTGAATTATTATAGGGGAATTAACCTTGATAAAACTTTTTATTTTAGATTTAAAAACAATATTAGTTTTTCTATAAACTTAACTTTTTTGGCCGCTTCAAGACAAGCATTTATGGATGAAGAAGATACACAATTAACAGCGGGGATAGCAAAACCATTTTCTTTAGCATAATTTAATACTTTTGTAACATCATCGCCAGTAACCACGCCTGGTTTTACGAAATCGAGAACTCCCATTGCTAATAAAAGAAAAGAAGAACCACCGGAGAGAGGAAAAAAAGTAAAACGGTAATGCAAAAAAAAGGTAGAACCGAATGAGAGGCTAAAAAGAGCTTATTTTTGATTAAACTTTTAGTAAGATCAGCGATGCGATTAATAATAATGTAGCAGATTAAAAAGATTGATACCGCTAATTCAAAATAAGGAATATTTTTTAATCAATTTTTTGCAAAACATAGAATTGTTCAGAAATTTTATTTCATTGACTTTTTTGTTAAACCAAATAATTTTTTATTTATTAAAAATATTACTTTTAATGACTAACTGCATTTTTTTTAATTACTAATATAAAAAGTATCAGGTACACAAAAAATTTTTGTTATAATTATTGTTTTCAGTTTTTCAGATACTTAATGTATAAAGCCTTTAAAAAAAAAAGTTAGTTTCTACTTGTATTGCGAAAATCTAACAATATTGCATCTCTTGTTTAATAACAGTATATAAAAAGTGCTAGTTTTTGGTATAATAGTAGCTTATAAGAATTCAACGGACGGTGGTAACTTTTGTACTTATGAATTTTCTCTACACGTTAGCTTTAAAGCATATAAAGTCAAGTTGGTCTTATATAAGTTTTCTAAGAGTATTATAATATGTAAAAGGGTTTATTTAATTATCAAAGTTATAAATTTAATTTTATCGAACCACCTGGTTTTTTTAGCTTTGAAGGTTTTTTAAAAGACCATCAAGAGTATATTTTGTTTGTCTAAATAAATGCTAACCTAGTATTGAGATTAATAATAATAATAGAAAGCCGAACGACTGTTAATACGTTGCAAGTACTTTTCTGCAAAAGTCCTTAAGAAAAATACCAACCAAATTATGCCTTGCTTTTAAAACTAATCAGTATAGGAAAAACTACAATTATAGCCGGCAAAATCTCGTTTTTAAAGTAACAAACTTTTCCAGCCTATAACAAAGTCTATACTTAAAGAAATAAAATATTTTAGTTGACTGATAAATGAGACATACGCTAAATAATTACTAATAGAAAGTGTAGATCCTACATATATAGTGTCCTGGAGAAGTAACAGTGATAGAAGGGAACTTAAATACCAGACTTACAAAAAATTTTTTTAATATATTACAACTATACGAAGTACTCCACTCGAAGATACTATACTTATTTATAAAGTTTGGAGTGCTACAATTTAGAATAGAAGCGCATAAAATTATTCTTTTTTATATTATTTAAATTACTATTATTACTATTGATCTATTACTTCTTTACTGTCATTATCATTATTATTTTATTATTACTATTATGAGTAGTTGTAGTAGAACTATTATTAATTAACCCTTTCTTATTTATTAACGGCAGTTATCCCACTTAACATATGTTAAAAATGCATTAAAATTAAAATTCTCTTATTATTGGTAAATAAGTGTATTTCTCTTCACTCATTGGTTTTATAAGGGGAACGCAAAGATTTTAATTATGTTTAAATAAAGTTTTCTTAGTGTTTAAAATGTCTAATAAAACTAGTTAAGTTCGGTATTTTTTTACATAGTAGCCTTCTAGGCCACCAAGTTATTTATTAACATCAACTACGCCCTCTAGAGGTTTAGTCTCTGATCTAGCCTTCTAGATTAAACTATTACCTTTACATAATCGCTGGTATTCTAGACTAACGTAGAACTGCGATAATACAGAAGCTATAAACACCGAAAAAAAAAAAACCGGCCGAGCCACACATGTTTTATTGAAAAATATACCTATGTATACTATACATATTAATGCAATAATTTAAAAACTACTCAATAAATAATCAGCTACCTTCAATTATTCAAATTTAATATCCGTGCTTAAGGTAATTAAATTTTTAATGAATTATGTTGGCTTTTATTTACATTTGAAAAGATTTCTTAATATTTTGGCTGATGTTTAAGGACTGTCAGAGAGTTAATTATAATTCAGAGGCAAAAGAAAGAAGACAGCAAAGAAGATTTGCTAAACTATAAATTATATTATTAAATATATATATATTTGCGTATTAGTACCAAAATTATAATAACATCTAATTATAAAAAATTTTTTAACCAAAAAAAAAAGCGGCCTGAGAAATTTATTTAATTTGTTTCGGAATGATCGCTTAAGTCCAAAAACTTTTAAAAGACGATGGCTGTGGCCTTAAGTAATTTTAAAGCTTCTGTATGTGAGTTTTCTGCTCTTTTTAATAACTTCCATTATTATATAATGGTTAATAAAAAAAGTGCAGCAAAATAAAAAAAAATTTGTTATATAGCCAGAAGTTATATATATTTATACATCCTCAAGGAGTTTTTTAATGTCCATGATATGCATCGTAATAGAACGGTTGATAAAGTATGCAGCACAAATAAAAAAATTATTTATGTAGCCAAAACTTTTTTATACGGATATTTTTAATCATGCTCTGCTTATTAGTCTAACATATGTTTTCTATTAGCTTCTTGCTTATTTCTATCGATATATCAAAAGTATTTTGGTTTAGTTGGTTAGTTTTTTTTCTTTATTACATTGCAACTTAGCAGTGAAACGACCACATCTCTAAGTAGAAGTTAGCGAACCTATTTACTCTATCGTATAATACGCTCTTTGTCGCATTTAAGGATTATGGAATAATTTATTCGAAAAAAGTACAATATTTTAGTTGTAGACCCCGAGAAAGGTCCGGAGAAACGGTTATATAAATATTTTAATATATACCAACTTGAGAAAGATATAGATTTTGAATACATTTAAGCAATAAAACTTTTTATAGTTTTTAAAATAATTAATTAAACTTAAAAAGAATGACGAACACAATAGTTAGGACCGCTCAACTACACTTCTTCGTGCATTTAGTAAGGCTTTTTTTTAGTTTTAGATGAGAAAACGCACAATTTTTGGCTTGTGCCTTATAGTGTATTATAAATTTAACAATTACTACTTTTATTCTTTTAATTAACTAGAATCGGTGTAGGGTATAAAATTTACTTGGACAACTTAGAACTATTTTTAAAATAACACGGCTAACTTTTACTTAATAGCAAACCGCTGGAAGACTAGCGCTAAACAAGTTAACGACCGTAAAGTCAACTTTATATTACTATGAAAAAAGTAATTTGCTAATAAAAAGGTTATAAGACGGACGGAATCAGCTATCATTAATCTTTTAACAACGCTCTAAATAACATCAACGTGGCCAAAAAAGCGGCTGTCCGCTTGAAATTTATAACCTGAAAAGAAGTAGTTAAATCTGCATAGTAAAAAAAAAATTAGCTAACGTTAAATGTTAACTATTTTAAAGAGAAATCTGTCCAACCAGCTGAAAATCCGTTTGCATGATTTATAACTCATAGGCGTCTAGTCACACCCTAATACTGTTCTAATAGGCAGAAAGAGGTCAGCACAACTAGAAACATGAACTATAGGAATTTATAGTGAGTAAGATCTGTTGTTTACCTATTATTAGGCCACGTTTAAATTATTTAACTTTGCGACGTATCTTAAGAAGAGCCTCCAATCCTCTAATTGAATCCTCTAATTGATGTGGTGTAGAGGTCAAAAGAAGAATGCAGCATCATTGCAACTTGAAAGGAAGTGTTAAGCTAGTTTTATAATTTACACGCCAGGTCAATCGCGGAGGGTATCTCTAATGGCAATATATAAACCCTCTAGCAGGGTTAATTTTGACATTTTTATCGTTTAATGAAAGGATTTTTACAATAAACACTCTGCATAGGCAACAAGTATCGCAAACCAGAGCTACATGGATGAACGTTTTTATATACAGAGTTCAAAATATATATAGAAAAAAGTAGTACGATTAATGACGGTCGAAGAGCTTAATGGACTTTACTGGTATCATCTGCTCAAATTTCTCGAATTGACAAATGGGTTAGAGAAATGAACTACATTCGTTCTTTTCTTCATGAATAGGAATTAGTTTTTTAAGTCGGTACGCCCGACATGTTTAAAACTGCTGACTGTTCTAACATAGGCGCTCTTCGCTGGTACATTTTGGGAAAACTGCACGTGAGGTTGCTTGGCGGCCTAGTAAAAGGATTGTGATCACGTAAAATTCTTTCGGAAGTCTTAAAAATACTTCGCCTGAAGTTTTACTGTTAATAAAAAAATCTAGTACTTTAAAGAAATGAATAAGTCGCGCCTAGTAGTTATGTGCGCTTTGTAATAAGGTGACATATAAAAATTAATATTTTTAAGTAATTAAAGGAGATATTGAAAAAATAAGAAAAGATATTTAGCTTTACTTATTGCTGTGCTTTTATTATTAAGGGCTAACGTTTACAATTGATCGAAAGCAAAGATCAGATGATATCAATAATGTTGTCTTTTATAACTGAATTATGGAATAATTTATTCGAAAGTTCAAAGTACAACATTTTAGTTGTAGGTCCCGAGAAATCAGGAAAAACGGTTATATAATATGTTTATCTTGTGAAAATAAAGACTAAATTTTTAGAAGTTAATTTCTAAGAGAAATTTGAATACATTTTAAGCATTAAGCTTTTTATAGTTTTTAAAAAATTTAAATAAAATTAAAAAGAAATATATTTAAAAATATTGGTTTTTAACTCCATTTATAAAAGACTTTAATAAAGTATGGTATTTATAAGCGACAAAATCTTTTTTTTAAAATTAACTTATTTATAATATTTTGAATTTTATAATATTAAGTTTTTTTTATAAAAGTTTGTGTTTTTTCTGTGGTGTTGATTCTTAAAGGAAAACAACTTCAGAAAAAGTCTTTGAAACTTAGAATGTTTTTATTTGAAAACGTTAAAAATAGTATAAAATATTGAAAGTTGGAAGTTTAAGTTTATTCTTTTTTTTTAGAACGAAAGTATTAAAAAAAATACTGTTAATCTTCTACATATATCTATTATTGCTTTATATAATTTTAAAAATACTTTTCACCTGAAAAAGAATTTTTTAAATTTAAGACCTTTGTTGAACATCTAAGATGTTTACTGACTTCTAAACATAATCAATTTAAGAATCGAAAAATTTTTCCAACAGTCGGGCTAAATCGTTAGTAAGAAAAGCCATTTAAATCTTATTATTTTATTGTTATTACTATGTTAGTTGTACAATTTTTTATTAATGGAACACTGGAAATTGTTTTGTGGGATCTCGGAGGAAAAGTTTTCTTTAATCAGCAATTATTTCACTACTACCAAATTAATTAACTTTTTTAGGAAGAAATGAAAATCTTTTGGAATAAATACTATAATGAAGGTTTACTTTAAATATAAAATTGTAAAAATTTTTTAAAACTTGGATTAATTTACTCTTCTTTTTTATAATTTATTATTTTTACAAACAAAAGTTGATGCAGTCATATTTATATTTGATGGGACCGTTTCTGAAGTTCATGCCATGTTAGAACTTTTTAGTAAAAGTTTTATTGTAAATATTAATTAATTTTTTTTCTTCTGGTTTTGGTATTGCCTAACATAAGTAAAAACATATTTTTTAAAGTATGGTGGATTATAAGCGTAACTTTGTTAATCTTGTATAATAAGGTTTAGTTCTTTTTGGAATTTTAATTGGAATTTAATTAAAATTTCGTAAGGTTACCTTTGAATTTGTATATATAAATATTTCATAAAATTTTTTGAAATAATTTTATTATAAGTTAAAAGAAAGTTATGTTGGGTATTTGTAGAAAGTTTTTACTTATAAACATTGTCCAATAATACAAAGTATTATTTAAAAAAATTTTCTCACAACTAATCTTAAGTTTTTTTAAAACCTTATTTTTAAGAAAAGTTTAATTTTTAAAATTCGAAGTAAAAATTTTGGGCAATTATGCTTTGGAGTTAAATAGAAAACAAACTTATTGTTTACTATCTATTTCGTATAAATATACGTTAAAGGTAATGCTTTGGAATTATTTAAGTTAATTGATTTTCAGTGAATAATTTTTTTTTTGGTAGTTTTGTAAAGAACTCCCTCCTTTGATGAATAGAAAAGTTAAGCTATAAAAACCGTTTTGTGACTAAATAAGATATCCTTTCATTTCCAAAAGTTAACTAATAGGAGTTTACCATACTTAACAGAAAAGCAGTTCGAATGTATGAAATATACAGGCACTTGACTTTAGCTAAGCTATAAATTTTTAGATTTTAGAATTCTTGCTCAGGGTTTAAGTATTATTATTGTAAGACATCTAACAAAAATATATTTTTAAATTATTTTATTTTAATATTTTTAGACTAGAAGTTTTAATTTTACCCTAAAATGAGAATTTTCAACTCAACCTTCAGGGTTAGTACGGTTCCCTACAATTCTTTTTCGGTATTTGTATGAGCGGAATATAAAAATTCTGCTCAATTAAAGAAGTGTTTTACTTTTAAAAGTAATAGCATTCTAACTATAAAGAATTAGATAGAAGTTTTTTAATAATAAATTTAAGTCTTTTACCTTAAGAAATTTACGTAAGGCTGGAGGTTAGTGAGTTAAACGATACCGAATTTTATTTTTATTTTGCTCAACACAACCATGTTAATTTAGTAACAATTTTTAAGTTACTTATAAATAATAACAAGCGCCAGACAGCAATTTAAGTCCTTTAATTTATAGCCAAAAACAATAACGTTGAACAAAGGTTTGTTTGATATATATATTTACTTGAAATATAAATTTTTAAAAAGTGCATAAAAGTATGCACGTCCCACCTCTTAAATTACCTTGACTAGAGCTCAAAAACTGAAAAGTAACTCAATATTAAACTGTTAAGGAACACATTTAGTTTTCTTAATAGTTTATTATAATTATTTTCTTAAGTTTTCAATTATATCAATTGTTCCTACTTCTTGACAAACCCGTGATACATCGAACTATAAATTTGGAATTTTTGTTTTTTATACACTCATAAATTCACTTTGTGAAAATGGTAAACGTTGTCACTCGTACTCTTTCATTTACTAAAAACTATTATCTTAAGTGTTTACTTGTTATGTACTTTTAAATTCTGTTATTTTTTGTTTCAGGCATAAATAAAGTACTCGATAAAATTTGTAAAAAATTTTATTATTTTGTTAAAGAGACTACTTAATTTTATAAAATTTCTAAACTTTCCTTTTTTTTATAACATTTCAATTTTTATTTTTTAATAATATAGAAGAAGTTTATTATCACACGGCCCTTCAAAAGAAACCTTTCACTATTATTATTAATAAAAATGATTTAAACGGAACTTTTTCCTTGAGCGACTGGAAAAATTTAATTTTATTAAACGTCGAATTCCACTCTTCAGTTAATATTTTTACCATGTCGGCACTTAAAGGGTTTGTAATTTGCATATTTACATTATTTTTTTTATAATTCAAAATAATAGAAATAATTATACTTAAGTTGCTTTTGTAATTTTTTCTACGAAAAATCTATTTTTTGGTTTTAATAAAAAAATATTTAATTTTTTACTTGCTCATGTTATTATATATTCTAATTTATATGAATAACTATCGATGTCTACCTTTTCCGCTTTATTAGTTTATTTTGGATTGACTTAAATTAATATTTCGAAAAATATAATTAACTATATGCTTTTAAAAGTGAATATATTTAAATACTTTTTTCAAGTCTTACTTTTTTTAACTACAAAAATTTGCAGCACAGGATTTGATGAGGCCATTTCATGGATGACGGATTTATCTCAAAAGATCAAGTGTAAAAATAAAGTTGAGTAATTTACAAAAGATAAACGTTTATTTTAAGAAAATTATTCAACCAATAAAAAAATTTGATGAAAACATTTTGTTATTTATTTTATTTTTATTAATAGCAAATTTTTATTATGTTATTATATTATTAACAAATTACTCATTATAAGGCTTAATAAAAAGTATTGCATTCTTAATTTATTATTAAAATGAATTATTGGGACGGAAATAATTCATAAGTTTAAGGATAAAATGAAAGATTTATGTTAAATAATAAATTTAGTTACACAATATATAGCAGCTTAATTGCAGTTACTTTAGTAAGTACTGCTAATTTTAAGGCGGGAAGATGTTTTTAAAAAATATAGAATTAATGAAACCTGAAGTACTAGTAGGAAAACCTTATAACATATAATAATAATAATGTACAAGTATCACATTTTCTTACAGATTATATTATTATATTCTTTTGAATTTACCAAAACGTTTTTCTGGTGTTTTTTTTTTAAAAAAAAGTCGTGTTTATGGTGTTGTTTACCAATTTATCTAGTTAATATTAGACCTGCTGAAAAAAATGTTGAAGCTAAAATCTTTTAAAATCAAAGAAAAATTTTTTGGAGTCGTGGTATCTCTGCGCTCCGTTTTTTTAAGTGGTCTTTTGCTAGTTTAATGTGTAAGTAATGGTTTGTATATGGTTGTATTTTTGTGTATTATATATAATAGTAAGAGTATTGGCTTCATTCGTGATGATTTGAGATACTAATAAATTAAAATATGCCCCAGTCGTTTCCGCTAAGTAAGCTGTTAATACAATACCAATCTACTTGTCTAAATCAGTTCAGCGTACAACAAAAATTTTTTAGGGTTAACTAAAAAATAAATAAAAAAAGCAAAGCACAATTTTTTTTAACACGCATATTTTAAAAAGCACAAACCAATGTCTTAAAAATAAACCGACTCAGTAAAGTAGCTGACTCCTCGGGTACAGCAGCAATAGAGATACAATCCGTTTTGTTAATACAAAGTTGAATTTTTTAATAATAAAAATATATAATGAACTTTTTTCTTACAAAAAGTACGTAATAATCATTATAAAAAGTTTTACTGGAAAAAAATAAAAGGTGCGATTAGATTATTATACCACAAAGGAGAGTGAAGAGGTCATACAAGTGGCAAGAGCCGAAACACATTCTAGAAGCATGATACATAAATCAATAAACAGCTTGACCCGTGTTGTGTCACATAATTTTCGATTTATTGAATTCTGTTGTAAAATGAAGACGAAAAATATAACATTTAGCTTAAATTTATAGCAAAATTATATTAATTTGAAGCATAAACGCAAAGACGACTTAATAATTGGATAAATATAGACTTTTTGCATTGTCGTAGTTTAACTTTTTTTTAAAGTGTATATAGAAAGACTAATGGTAAAAAGTAATGTATTTTTTCGCCTTCCATGCTCCTTGTTTTTTTTCTGAATCTTTTTTTTATCTTTTTATGAAGGTATCCGGCTGCAAACTTTGAGGGGTTAAAATTTTTAATTAGGGCATACTGTGTATACGTTAATTAAGGTTTTCCTATGTATGCTAACGTTACATAAAGAAATCAATTTATTGAATAGTGAATAAGCTGTTTTTACTGTTGAAATTAATTAATGAACAGTTGAAATCCTCTCTGTAGTTAATAAGCTATATTCGAAAATCCTGTAAAGTAAATTTAATACAAGCTATCACTGTCAATCTTCAGTTATTTATCGCCTTATGGAGATGCAATGAGTTTAAATAAAGTTTTCTTAACCTATTTCAAAATATTTAGTAAAACTAGTTATTGTTTATTTACTTAGTTGTCCTCTAGAACACTAAGCTTTTTATTAACTTCAACAATAACGCTCTCTAGACTAAAAAAAAAAAAAAACTATTACTTTTATAATATCGCTGATCCTCTTGAGCAACATAAACTAAAACACTAGAGACGGGGTAAAAACGGAAAAAGAGAGAAGGGAAAAAAGAGTATAAAGAAAAGAAATGGTAAAGCCACCATTTATTTATTTAGTAATGGCATTTCCTGGGGCTGGATCGAGTTAACAACTTCGAATACACGAGCTCTCGAACAGGGGTTTTTCGTGGCCCAGGAGTGCAGATAAAATTATTTTATTAACATGTTGCCCTTCACGTTCAATTTAGACCCCCTCCCCCCCACATAACTTGCAGCCGTTAGTGCGAAGGGTGCGTCGCGAGGACAGCGGAACTGTGCACCGTCCCACAACTAGTGAGTTCTTCCGCTAGTAGGCGATTAGCGTGTCCAGCTATCCTTTCGTGAAAGGCGAGAGCGTTCTTTTCGATAAGTTATAGGCCCAGGCAGGAGATGCATTTGCCATAATCAGTCGAATGCACACCACATAAAACCTTCGCTTATTGCGCTTACTTTTGCTGCATAAGAAAGGATATAGCATCTGGGTCTGTTCTTTGACCTTCGCCGCCACGACAACTTGGAATCTAAAATGACCCCCAGGTATTTTACCTGGGAACACACACGGATTTTCCATGCCGTTAAAAGTTAACGGAGTCGGCAGCGTATGGCTTTTCTTCGTTATAAGAAGCGCCTTGTTCTTTGCTGCGTTAGTGGAGAGGCCCCTTTGGCGCCTCCCGCTAGCAAGCGCATCAGGATTAAATTGTAAGCGCTGACATACTAAAACGTGTGATTGGACGAAGAATAAGTCATCATATTGCCGGCGTAAATGTCGATTCGCGTTTGAGGGCGGACCGGCAGACCGAGCGTATAGCAGTGGTGATAAAAGAGAATGAAAGAGAGCCTTGGGGACTCCCGCTGTAAGATAGTGAGGCGACCACAGGGCAGCGCCTACTTGGACGTTGAAAACCAGACCGGTTAAGTGCCGCTTAAGAACTCCTTGAAGGTCTCGAGGTATCGCCAAAGGATGTAGTTTGCATAACAGACCACCATGCCATAATGAACCAAAAGCCTTCTCAACACCGTGAGAGAAAGCGCCGGTGGCTTTTTTGAAATTTAGAGGCTGTGCCCGTCCACTCAGTCAGCCGAAGAACTTGATGGGTCGTGGAGTGTCCCTTGCGAAACCCAAACTAGAACTCTGGTAAAATTTCAGGTGCGTCCACAACCGCTTTCAAACGAATAAGTATCACTTCTTCATATCTTACCTACTGCCGACAATAAGCTGATGGTCGGTAGTTGGGAGTCTCTGACGCCAGTTGCAACGTTTCTGGTAACATCACCACTACCATTAATTTCCATCTCCCTGGAAAATAGCCGAAGATCAACACCAAGATGGCGAGGCTGCATAGATAATTCATCGCAGCCTCTGGCAACTTTTTTAACATCAGCTTATGCTGCCGTCAAGGTCGGAGGCCTTCCGCTTCGGTAGTAACTTGATAATTGACTTAATCTCATCTGTGGTGAGCATCTCCAGAAAATCAGTTGTATCTGACGAGATAAGATTAGGCACAAGGGGAGCGTTATCGACGTTACGAAGTGGTGGCCGAGTCGAATGCCAGCGATTTCTCACTCGCTTAACCAATTTTCAAACAGAGGCGGACCGATGTCACCAGCTTCCTATACTTCGTTAATTTTTGTTATCCCATCGGCATTTATATGCGCCGTCAGCTTTTTTCCTGATATGTCGGTTAAGGCGGTTTAGCACTAGTTTGTCTTCTGCCCGTTGGAAGGCCATAATTACTTGAATAAACGCCGAAGCTCGTATATTAATGCTTTTAGTTCCTCAGGAAGGCGTTAGGACGAGGTGCAACTTTACGTGTCGTCGTTGCTTTGCTGTGAGCTTCTTTCACCGCGCGTTCGGATTCACCAACAGTGCTGTTTAGTTTAGCATGAGTTTTGAGTGGTTTCGTAAATGGTTGGAGCGCCTTTTCGACCATTTCGGAAAATTTGTTCCAATTTTTATAAGTTCGTGAGAGTATTGCTATTGCTTCCTTTTCGTCTTCCAGTTCGAGAAGGACAGGCAAATGATCCGACGACAATACATTTAGCGCCTCTATAGCCGTGGGAATGCATATATTTTTTAATACGACGAATCCAACACGTCCTTTGTCTCCGTCTTCCTTACCATGAGTGTAGGCAACTGTGGTCCTAACATTCTCAACCCGCGTTTCTCAGCGTAAGCCTCATGGATGTAGTCGTTCCGATTTGCAACCCGACTGCTCCACGCAGGAGGTTTAAAGTTAAAACCCCCGCCCGAAAGTCATGCACTAGAAGAGCATCAAGTTCTAACGGAGTGAGTGGCTTGCTGGCCGGTTTATAGATTGACATTATAGTAAAGGGCCCCTGTCTACCAGGTTAAGGGGATAACCAACTGCCTCGAACCCTTGAAGAGCTAGTAATGCTATTAAATGGTGTTGGGTGTCTCGCTTGATAAGAATATCCACCCCTCAACCACTGGTGTACAATTGATCCCTGCGATACGTCGCAAAGTTGCAGATAAATTGGTACATTAGGGGAGAGCTGTGCTTCGCTGACAGCACAGATATCTATTTGCACATTGCATTAACTCTTGCAACTCATGTTTTTTCTTCTGGATGTCCACCGCGGTTCAAAAAAGTAGTTGGATGTGCTTAGGTGTTTGAATTTTAAAAGTCATTGCAAACTAATTCTAAACCTTCCAAGGTCTCAAGCATGGTCAACAGCTTCGTCATCAAAATAGCTAACATGCCTTAGAGTAGGTTGCGATCGCTGTTCTTGTTCAAATAACGGAGTCAGCATTACCAATGTTAGTATGATTATTCACAGAGGGCGTTTAGTGCGGTCTCGTTCTCAGGCGAGAAGCATGTGGTATAGTTGGGGTAATGGTAGCATCTCTGGAGTGGGCGTTGGGTCTCATGCCCGCGTAACTTGGTGGGCCTCTAAAGACTCCGCGGGTTACATTTGCAGCCCGGTAGTTGCCGGTATATGTCTCACCACAATTCGCAGAGATAGCAGGCAAGTCTCGTGATTTGGTACACTCTGTGGTCAGCTGGCCCCCACTGCATTGACGCACCGAGGTACCGCAGTGCAAAATCTTGCGGTGTTACCAAAGGTTTGGCAGCGGTGGCATTGACCAGTGC